TGTAGTTATAGGTGGCAAGTGTTCTTTGGAGATGGTGTCAGGTGTTTTATGTCAGAAATGCCTTGGACTGTCGCCTTGTCATTGCCGTCGTGGGAAAGCCCGCAGTGTGGAGTTGGACAGGAAGGGCCGTGGCGTTGGGGTCTGCCTGACCTTTCCTGCCCGTTAAGTCTGTGTTTTCCCACTTGGCGCTTTTTCCTAGTCTAAGAGCAGTGCCCCCATTTCAGAGTTCCTTGGCAGAAAACAAGAAATGATATTCGTGGACATTAGTATCCGAACTCTATATTTTAAATCAAGGGAATCCCTTTAATTCTTGGGCAGAATTTTTTCCCCACAGGGTTTTTTCTTTTGCAAATTCCAAATATGTTTATTATAAAGACAAGCTTGGAAGAGTTTTTAATCACTCATCAACTAAATAAATGGATGTTTAAAAACATCCTCATCTCTTTTTTTAAAAATGTGACATGATAAGTACCTTGTGGGCTCAGATTGGAACCCCCCCCATTCATCAGCTGAAGTGGGTGATGAGTCAGCAGCACCCGGACATTTTATTTGTATAGATTTCACTGTGGAAGGCTGGCTAGGCAGAGGACGTTCTGACCTCCTTTTGTGAGCGGTGCCTTTTTGCCTCTTTGAGCAGGATTGTACCTTGCTGCCCGGACCTTCCGTACCAGAGATGCTGTCCTAGCCTAACTGGCAGGGAAGTTTTCAGTGCCTACCGTGTATCTCTGGTGCACTGGGCCGGGTGCCTCGATTTCCCAGAACCCACCGTTCTCTCGGGGATAGTGGGACCCGATGGGGGGGAGGGAGAGGGGAGGAGAGCTGGGGATGGCTGTTAGGTGGTTTTAAGCCTAGTTCTAGGCTTGAGATTGATTGGGCATCAACAGAAAGGCTGTGAGGCAGAGAGAGCATCACACACCGTTCTACTGGTGCCTTGGCGGCATCTGAGGTGGCCCAGCGTCCGCAGCATCCCAGGCAGAAGCCACACAGCTGCTACACACCTGGCCTGTGAGGTGTCAGACTGTCACCTCTTCCACACCTTGCTGGCAAATGGGTCCTAAGTCAGGAAAGTCACACCACATTTAGGGAAGGGGGAACTAGACTCCATTTCCCAGTGGGGCAGTGAGGGGGGATTTGTGACCCACCAGACCGTGTTCCTTGACAGGGGACGTTGGGTATTCATGGCCGATGACCAAGTGCACTTTTCCATTTGAGACAGAAGTCAGATGATCGTAGGCTGAAGGGGTCAGCGTATGATGGGCCTGGGAAACTGTTTTGAGGAAGATGGGTGCAGAGTGCTTTCTTAGAATTCTGCTGCTCGGAGGGCGGGGAGGCCTAGGGTTGGAGGCATCGGCTCATTTTGGATTGCTTATGAAACAGTGAGGTCACCAGTAGGCTGTGCTATTCCGGATCTGGTCGTGCCTTTTTATTCTCATGTCCTGTTGACTTGCTTAGATACTCGAGGAGTTCTGTTCTGTCTTTGTGATAAACTTTCTTCTGGCCTTGGTCCTTTGCCGGCACATGCCTAAGAAGGGTGATTTCCATTCGTCAGCGTTGCCTCAGCTTTCCTCATGTCCCCACCCTGCACCTTTTCCTTGAACAACCATCTTGTTCACGCTCTTGAGTTTTGCTCACTGCCGCTCCCCCCTTTTGCCGCCAGTGGGATGACAGCTGCCCTCCGTGTGTCCTCTCTGAATACCCTGTAATTCCAGGGCTTGGTTTAAAGTGCCCTCACCCTGGCCAGGCCAGAGCCTCTGCTTTTCCCTTTCTCTGTCTCTACTGTTGAATGGTTCTGGGTTTTCCTCCCCAACACGCACAGCCTGTGGGGCTTTGCATAGGTGTGGACCTGGAGCCCACTCCTCATACAGCATCAGTGTCTCTGGGGTGTAGCTTTCCATATTTGTGTAAGACTTCCTGGTTTTGCTGATTTTTACATCCCCTCAAGACAATGCTAAATCTTCTTTATTTTGCCCTAACCCGTTTTCACCATTTTGCTTTGAATTGGCCTGTGGAACACCTGGTCTCCTATAACAAGTAAGCGCCCACTCAGTGGCTTGAAACAACAGGTATTTATATTGTCACAGTCCTGGAAGGCTTAAAGGCTGAGATCAAGATGTGGACAGGGCTGCATCCCTCTGATGACTCCAGGAGAGATCCTTCCTGTTTCTTCCAGCTCTAGGTGGCTCTAAGCATTCCTTAGAGTGCGCTTGTGTGACTCTGGGCTCCCCATCGGTCGTGACATGGCCTCTCCTCCTGTTCCTGAGTGCCTCTTAAAGATGCTGTCGTTAGAGTTAGGTCCCACCAACAGTTCAAGACGGCTTCATCTTGAGAGCCTTTGCCTTTTTCTGAAAGAACCACTCACAGGCTCCAGGATGTGCTCACATCTTTTTGGGGAGGGGTACCATCCATCTTCTGCCTGCCCCCTCTGGTGAAGGTGTGCTCTCCACCTGTCATACGAGTCTATCCTGCATCTTGCACCCTACGTGATCACTTCCTGTGTCCTGTCACATTAACCGAGCAAACCCTACCAGACTCCCTCGTCTCCTTAGGATAGGAAACCAGCGGGCTTGTCCTGAGTGCTCCGCTCTCATACTCTCATCCTTTTCCACGGCTTCCACTCTTCTGGAACGTAGAACTTGGAGCTCCCTTAGTCCTCCATGCTGTGTGTGTGCTCCGCGTTCAGTCTTCCGGCTTGGATTCCAGACCCCTCAGAGTGTCTTTCCCTAGTGCCTCTTGTCCCGTGTCTTCACCACACTGTTGTATTGTTCGCCTCTCCAAATAGAAGGCTCCGTGGAGGCAGGAAGCTGATTCTCATCACTGCAGCTCTAGTACTGGGCACTATAAACGTGGAATGAATGGCCTGGGAGCTTAAACTAATTAGAAACTCGTCTCATCTTTATCATTGCTTTGCCACCACTATTTTGTTTCCAATAGGATTTTTCACTCGTCATCATCGAGATACATGAAGTAGGCAATCTGTCCACACACTGGTTTATTTGTTTAACCTACACTATCTGTTCATCTATGCACGAACACAGGCAATTTAAATGAAATTCTTTCTGCATGTGTTGGCGTTTCTGACTCCTCTTTGTGCTTTGTGCTGGATATAGCTTTGAGGCTGTAAGAAAGAGTCTCCTGTAATAAGGGTTAGAGTACATCCAAACCAACAAAAGCCCTTGTGACTTCTGTTTCCCTCACTTTTTGCTTCAGTCAGAATGTGACATTCCCACAGCTCTGTGTTTATGTGGCTTAGGCCACCCACAGAAAACAGTTGGTTGTCCCTTGTCCCAATTTTATGTGTGCTAGGATGAGGAGGATGTTGACCAGATTGGACCAGATGTAAGGTGGAGAGGGACGGGGAAGATGTCGGGCAAGATGTTGGGCAATACCATCTTCTCAAACAGGGAGTGGTGCTGAGTTTCACCTGTGAGCTCAGGGAGGGGCAGACTTGGGAGAAGGGAATGCCGTTAGGAGCAGAGAGCTCTGCCCAGCCTGTGGTCCCCTTCCCAGCCTGGGTCCCCTCCCCCTGACTGCGAATGTGGGGGTGAGGGGAGGGTGGAATAGGAACCTTGACAGAACCTGTAGTCTGTCCGTCCGTCCGTCCGTCCGTCCGTCCACAGCAGTGAAAACTCTCCTCCTGGTTGTTCTCTGTCGTGGCTCTAGTTGGTTCAGATGTTTCCTTGAATATAGACGGCTGGCCCCTAGTTAAGTGGTGTCAGAATGTCCAAAAGTGAGTTTATGATGGTGGTTTACTCATGAGTGCTTGAGAGCAGTGATTGCAGATTTGTGGAAACTACGTTTTTCTGATCTTGCTTCAGGGAAAAAAAACAGAGTTCTAAAACTTGAAACAAATGACTTCTTCAGTCTAGAGACATCTTTAGGTGGCTGGTTCCTTTTTGATGGAATGGAAACAGATTCCAAGCACAGTACAAATAACTTGTGTGGTAACAGAAACCATTGTCTGATAGAGCTGTTGACTCAGCTCTTAAACACACACCCAGACCCCTTTGTTCCAGCCTGTGCCGTTCCCAGGGGCCTCCCCGTCCCACAGCACACCTCTCCTCTCTGCACAGGGAGAAACGGGGAAAGCCAGCGGGCTGCTGGATAAGGCAGCGCAGGGACGGGCCACCTGACCTGTGGCCGGCCCTTCTTGGTGTTCCCAGAGGACCTGTGAGCGGCTGTGTTTGTCTGAGTAAATTTATGAGACTCCCTTTTACTTCTCTCAGGGAGGTTCGCCATGTTGCCAGCCAAGAGTCTTAGTCAAATCCACATGGCCACATGGGATGCCGGTTACAACATTCGGAGATCAGTACATCTATGGTTAGCACATGCAGTTGAAACCAATCTGTCAGTTGTAATCCTGAATTTCTTTAAACTCTGTCCTTAGCTAAATGTAAGACATCTACCTCAGGACTTGTTTACTTGCCAGGTTTTCTGAGAGTGGGCTAAAACTCATGTATAGTTTGTACAAGCTGTTTTTTTTTTAGTTAACCTAGCAGTATAGGGTTCAAACAAATGAGAATGCACATAGGATTCAAAACCTTCAAGAAAGTCAGTAATTAAATTCGGTCTTTTTTTGAATAAAGATCTTAAAGAAAGCATTAACATGATTTGAGAGTGAGAGATGTTTCAATTAGCATATTCTTTCCTAACTAGTTCACTTAAAAATATTTCTCAAGTGTTTTCCTGAGGTCTGTTAGAATGGTACTAGCTGAATCGAGCCAACACTCAGATGGCCTCTGCAAAATACTCATTTGTCTCTTCCGAAAAAGATTTGAAGAGTCTGTCTTTATAGAGTAGGAAACCTATAATTACTTGTACATCACTTTTAACTGAAGTCTCTGGAAGTGATTGGGATTTGATGACAGCTGAAGTCTACATGCCGCGCTCTCCCTCCGTGGGGGCTCAGTGAGCGGCTTTCTGACCGCTGCTCCTGTCCTCTCTTGCTAGCACTGACACTCCGAAGGCTGACAGACAACTGAGTGCTTGTGTCCCTGTTGTAGGTACAATGGTGCTTTGCCCAGTGGTGACAGAGGCAGGAGGAAAAGCAGATTCGCCCTCTATAAGCGGACCAAGGCCAACGGCGTCAAACCCAGCACAATCCACGTGGTCTCCACACCCCAGGCATCCAAGGTAGGTGGCTGTGGCGAATGGTGGTGTCAGCTGCTGTCTCCTCTGGTCCTGTTTTCAGGAGGACAGAGCTTCTTGGCCATGCGAGGCTGGAGAATGTTTGTAGAGCTGTGCTGTGCACTGTGAGACGTTGAGCAGCGCCCTTGACCTTGACCCAGGAGGTGCCCACAGCATCCCTCTTCCCGACCCTTACTCTTCATGCTCACGCATATCTGGAGACATTTCAGATGACCTCAGGAGTCGATGCACTGTTTTAGGAAACAGGGCTGCTAGTGTTCATCAGATTACAGTTGTGTTTGAAAACTGCGTGATGCTTTTTATCTTAAGGAATTTTTGTATTACATCTGGGTATAAGCTTCACAGAGATCTGCTGTTTCCTTCTGTCATGAGCCTGGCATGTTTTCACGCTGTTGATACGTTACTTGGAATTGAATTTGCATGACTTATAGACACAGGTCTAAGTGATACGTATGGGACGCTCACTGTTCTTATTTCTTCCCAGTTAGTTTGTGGTGGTTTGAATAAGAATGACCCCGTGAGGCTTGTATATTTAAATGCTTGATCCAGTGTTGGGGAACTACTTGGGGAAGATTAGGAGGTATGGACTTACTGGAGAAGGTATGTCACTGGGGGATGGGCTTTGAGGCCCAGTCCTTATCTGTCTATGCTTGCTGCCTGTGGATCAAGATCTAAAGCCCTCAGCTACTGATCCCCTGCCATGCCTGTCTGCTTCCTGCCGCGATGATCATGGACTAACCCTCTAAAACTGTAAGCAAGCCCCCAGTTACATTTTTTAAGAGTTGCCTTGGTCATGGTGTTTCTTCACAACAATAAAACAGTAAGGCAAAGTTTGAAGTAAATAAAATGTTAAATTAAAAAAAAGAATTAAATCATGTGTTCTCTGATGTATAAGCAAGAGAAAAATCTGCATTTCCAATCTGGTTGTCAATATAAGTTATTACTATGACAGATGTTTTACATATTACACTTATGACAAGATTTCATTCAATAAAATCAGTTCTTTGTTATATAACAGTTGCCTTCTTGATAAAATATTAATGTATGATTTTTTTTATGGGGTTCCTGGGTGTGTTTGTGATTACGGCTTTGAACACCTGGACCAGTCAAGTATTGATTATGTTTTTACTGGACCCCGGTCTTCAGAGACCGTGAAGCTTCCTTGGAATCAAGTGTGGCATATACTCGGCATTAGCTGTGATCAGCCTGTGAACCCTTTGGTTAGGAAGCCCCGGAGCAGTGCCATGGAGAGAATCTGATAGAGTGGACCAGCTCACATGGTCTGCTAATGATGTGAGTGAAAAGGGAAACATCAAGTAACAGAGATAGGAAAGATTACTGGTGAGTGGGAATGTTTGGGCTACAGAAAGAAACTGAATGTTGGAAGAGGAAGTGACATTTTATAAGTAAATCTAGCTTTACCAAGAGCAGAAGAAAGGAAGAGAGAGAGAGAGAACCAACAAGTCCTTGGGAGGTCAAGGACACTAGAAACATTTTATAGTCTGGATTAGTTATTTTTTTCTCCGACAAGTCAACTTACTCTGGTTCACTTTCAGGAGATGTCAGTTTATGGTGGCCGTGATAGCAAGTGGCCAGTTATCTCAGTCCCTGGTGGCTAGATTTTACAGTGCACCCTTTTCACTTTATGGTGAATCAGGAAGCAAGAGAGGAGACTGGAAACCAGGCTGAGAGCAGTATCCTACAAAGACTGCCTCTAGCAGCCCAAGCATCTACGCCTCCCTCCCAAGGCTCTGCAGCCTCCCTAAACAGCGCCATCTGCTGGGGATGACACACATGAGCCAGTGCAGGACAAATCAAAGTACAGATGCATGAGAGCATGTGACAAAGTGCGGAAACTATTCCTGTAGTATAAATATGGTCCTTTTCATTCTGTGTGGCCATTGACATTTATCTTTCTTTTCTCCTTTTGACTCTGTACTGTTCATGATTTCCTTTCTAAATCAGGAATTTCATGTTCGTAGGGTGGCCGACAAAGGCTACAGAAAGCTGCGGCTGTAGCTTGGTGGTAGAGTTCTTGCCTAGCATGTACAGGGTCCTGAGTCTGGTCCCTAGCATCTCTCTGTCTCTCTCTGTCTCTGTCTGTCTGTCTGTCTCTGTCTCCCCCTTCTCTCCCTCTCCCCCCCTCTTTCTCACTTTGATGGCCCGGGCTCATTCTGTGATGAAATGTAAGAATTGTAGCTGTGGGGTATATGGGGCTCAGCAGCTCTTCTCTGTCCCTTCCCCACAGTTCTTCCTGACAATTTTAGCTTTTATTGTTTTACCTATGTGCTTAGATTTTGCTTCAAGATATTTAAGTCATATATCTCTTAGTAGTTGTCCAAGTCTGTGTTTAAACATTTTACTCACAATGCTAAGAATTGGGCACATTGGGTCTTGAACCTCTGTGTAATCTGGAAAAAAAAATATTTTCTCAGCACCTCAGGATATTCATTTGTAAGCTAAGCAAATTGACAATAAGCAGGAGCCATAATGTACTTTGGTTGTGAGCAAATTCTGGCTACAAATACATAAATAGGAAGGGCAGAAGTAGACAAGTCAGAGTAGAGAGGGTGGAGGAACCAGACTCAGGAAAAAGCTGAGCAACCCAGTGTTGTGAGAGAGGAGGAAGTGTGTCCTAAGGGAAGTTATTCATGTGGCCACTCCTTCACTGTGCGGTTGTCTCCACTGGAGATTTGTGTTTTCAGAAGAGAATCTGTTAGCCTGACTCACCACGGCCAAGGAGGATGGAGAAACCAGGGACCCTTGTGTGTGTGTGTGTGTGTGTGTGTGTGTGTGTGTGTGTGTGTGTGTGTGTGTTGGGGGTAGCTAACCACTGGTATATGTGGCCTTACTCTTTTGTACCACTGCCTCAAAAGGCCTCGTATCAAGTAAATACAGAATATTGTTGTATTGCGAAGAGGAACTGAATCTGTTTGCCACCATCTAGGGACCTGGACCTCAGTCACAAGCTCTGCCCTTCTGGGGCCTCTCAGATGTACACCCATGTCTGTGTGGCCATGCCATGCTTGCTGCTTCTGAGTTCCATTCAGCCATAAATAGAGTTTCTTCATACTTACATATTTACCTGAATCTATAAACCAATAGGCTTTGGGGGACAGGCAGTACTGGGGAGCCGAACTCCCAACTCCTAATGCACCGTTTTATTAGTTCCATCTCTGATAGGCCGTGGCATTAGACATGACTTCATTCTGCTGCTGTTCCTGTCTTCTCTGCTGACGTTCCTGGGTTACCTTGTCCCTGGTCCCTGCTGCCCACTCTGACCTATGGTTTACTCCTTTGTGCAGCTCAGTGACCTGGTGTCTGGCCCAGTCTCTCTCCCAACGCCCTTGTCCTGTGTCTCCTCTCTGCCTCTCTGGGGGCAAAACAAAGACATCCCATTGCCGATGGTAAACAGCGGGAGACAGGACCTCTTAGTCACCCATGAGTGCCAGCATCTCTGCCGAGGCAGATTCTGATGGCAAGGCTGGGCTATTGCTTTCTAATCTCTATTTGCATAACCTTTATTTGTGCACATATTTGCTCTTCGAATGATACAGGTGTTCTCTGATTATATAACGTGCTTATAAAGTATCAATATCACAAGTCCTGCTTCATTCCTGACAGATCTCTTACATAGGCATAAAGCCTCATAATTTATTCACCCATTCATTTATTCAGCAAATATTTATCCAGCACCTTCCACGCCCAGGCACCATGCCAGGTATTGGATAGACTGCCTCGAACAAACACATCAGCATGGAGCTAATCGGGCAGTGTAGGCAAACAGTGGAGACTTACTTGAATACGTATGCAACTGTGCATTGTGGGAAGTGCTGTGAGGAAAAAGGCAGAAACGTGGACCAGGGCGGCAGGGAAGGGTCTCTGAAAAGGGGCCATATGAGCTGCAGGCTGGCTAGGAATCGTTGCGGGTGGAGCTGACCAGGGGAGCAAAGAGATCAGGGCCTCGCTGGAGGAGGTTCTGACCTTTTCTGAACGGGAAACTTTGGGGAGTGTTAAGCTGAGAGAATGGCACGATACAACAGAGACTTCCCTTTTTATGATATGGAGAGACTAGTTACTGTTATTCCACCAGCAGGAGCGTGGTGGCCGTGATGGTGCCAGTATCTGATAAGGAGTATTTTTATTAGCCACGTGCTGAATTTAGCAGCATTGCTGTGGTAAACTCCACCATAGTTTTTCCCTTCTTAGATTATGTTTTACAGAAATCTCCTTTAGGGGATATTTTCACTTTCCAAAAGTAATTGGAAATCACTTTTTTCCTAGTGTATTTTACAGTTGAAAATATTAGTATTTGAATGATGGTTTAGAAAAAGATGAAGGCTCATTAATACACTGCATGTCCAGGGCTGCTTAGTCTGGGTCTTCACCCTCTTTATGTTGCTGTGGGAAAGTACACAGGGCTGGGTACTTGATGAAGAGATTGTTTGTCTCAACTGGGTTGATGGCTTCGAGGGTCTGGCTGTCACAGCGTGGTGGAAATGGAGAAGGTGAACAGGCCAGCTGCTGTCAGGGCACGTACCATCGAGGAAATGGATCAGCTAGGCCGTGAGCTATTGCTCTGAACACTGGTTCTTAGGGTTCTTAAGAGCTTAACCAGTCTCCGGAGACCTTTCCTGCTTTGTAAGATAATCACTCATCCCTTCTGATGGTGGTACCCGTCACAGATGCACCACCATTCACCATTGCTAGAGCAGGAACCAGGCTGCTAGCACGTGAGCCTTTGGGGACGGACCACATCCAGTCCACAGTGGTGTGTTTGAGTTGGTAGAGCTCTAGTAGTTGATGTCGTATTCAGAGTCTCCTGTATCACTCTTATGAATGTTACAGTAATTGTGGGAAGTGGTAAAACTAATGGAATTGTCAGTGTTAGCATCTTAGCTTGAGCTAATTTGTAGGATTTAGTGAGGGCCACTCTTGAAGCATGCATCTGAAAAGCTTAGCTGGATTCTTCTGTGCCTCAGGAG